ACCCTAATCTCTTTATTTAATGATATTGCACGGCTTCTTAAATCCATAAGTGTTTTCGTTCGTAGCTATATTTGGGTTATTTTATGTTTTAAGCAGTTTTTTTTTTTTAAACCATGACAATTGTTGATGGATCAAATCGTCGTCTTAATGTTTATTATACGTCGGTTGTTCATTTACTCCCGTCGTCTGAGTTTTAATCCGCAATTGGTAGCCTAAAGACGATTCTTTCTCCATTAAACATCGTCTTTAGGCTACCAAAACCCCGTACAAATCTCTGGGTTTGGGTATCTTAATGACGACGGTAACTGTAGATGCATATGAGTTAGGGGTGGAAGGATTTTTGAATTTTGCTGTAGAAAATCTTAGAGATGGATGATAGTGATTTTGCCAATATTGGATCTGATCCTTATGAGTTTGCCAATGTGATTGGGGATGGCGATGAACCCTTGTACCCTGGTTGCAGTAAGTACACAAAGTTGTCGGCTTTGGTGAAGTTATATAATTTGAAAGCAAAACATGGGATGAGTGATGTTTTCCAAGGAGAATTGCTTCCAGAAGGAAATACACTACATTCCTCTATGTACGAGGCAAAAAAGATTTTGTCTACTTTAGGGATGAGTTATGAGAAAATCAATGCATGTCCCAATGACTGCATTTTGTATCAGAAGGAGTTTGAGGATGCAACTAATTGTCCTACTTGTGGTATCTCAAGGTGGAAGGAAACCAAAGATGGGTTCTTGAAAGAGGGTGTGGCAGCGAAGGGGGTGTGGTATTTTCCTCCAATTCCAAGGTTTAAAAGGATGTTTCAATCACATAAGACAGCTAAGAGTTTGACTTGGCATGCTGCAAGAAAATCAATTGACGGTCATATGTCTCATCCAGCGGATTCCCCGTCTTAGAAACTTGTTGATGAAAAATGGCTCGACTTTGGTAATGAGCCAAGAAACTTGAGATTGGCTCTCTCATCTGATGGATTCAATCCCCACAGTTCTTTAAGTAGCAGATACAGTTGTTGGCCAGTTATGTTAGTTACATATAATCTCCCACCATGGCTATGCATGAAGCGGAAGTTCATGATGTTGACCTTACTGATTTCCGATCCTAAACAGCCCGGAAATGATATAGACGTCTACTTAGAGCCTTTGATTGATGATTTAAAATCTCTAAGGAAGCGGTATGGCTGAAGAGATTGGCAAAGGAATTCGGGATTGCCCAAGACATGGTGGTGATACAAAGTGATAGTCAAAGTGCTATCTACTTAGTGAAGAATCAAGTGTTCAATGGAAGATCCAAGCACATTGATGTTCGATACCACCGGATAAGGGATTGGGTGAACGATGGGGACATCATGATAAGGAAGGTTCATACAACGGAGAACGCTTCGGATTGTCTAACAAAGCCAGTCACAACAGCAAAGTTCAAGCATTGTTTGAGCTTGCTCAATCTTGTTCCATGCTAAAGATTGAGGTGGAGTTCTTGAGAGTTATCAGGACGATTCTCAAGACATTACAGATGTCCTAGAAGGCAATGATGTCCACAAGGAGTTTTAGGCTCGCCAAGGTGGAGATTGTTGGAAAATTGGCTTGCATAAAAGATACTAAGTGTTGGACCAGCGATCGGTCGCAGGATATGGGCGACTGGTCGCAAGGTATCCTCAAGGTATCCGCGACCGGTCGCCCAGAATGCTGTTTCATTTTTTCTCGAGTTTCCAACTCTGTTTTCAAGGGCTATCGCCTCCCACCTACTTGCAAGGACCCTAGGGGTCACTTCTGAGTCAGAAGACGGTTGGCAATCAGTTGGGAGGTTTGAGGGAGCATTGAAGGGTGATTGTTGACTTGTTCCAAGGTGTAGCCACCCTATGGTTCTTTATAGGGTGGCTGGACATGTTGCCATAAATACATAGCTTGTGGCTGGCCTAACCTGCGGTCCATGTCAGGTATTCAAGGGCAGAACGTGGGAGACAAAGCAAGGGTCTCCTCTCAAGGCTAGAGGCTTATATATTAAAGGAAAAAGGGAGCAAGTCTGCAGTGCAAGAGTTAGAGAGAGTTGGAAGGGAAGTAGCTGGAAACTAGTGAGTCAAGTAAAAGAGAGAGTTCTCAAGTGTATCAGGTGTGAGCAAGGGTGTGAGAGAAACAGATTGTGAGGGTAGTGTTCTAAGGGGGTTTCTATTTGTAAACCAAAGTTGTAACCTATCTTCATTAGTGAAATTTCTCAAGGGGATCACCAAAGAGGATGTAGGCAAATTGTTGAACCTCTATAAACACTTGTGTCATTTGTGCTTGAGTTATTTTCTGTGTGTGTGTAAGATTCATCCATCATTGAGTCTTGTCCAAAGTCCATCAACAACAAGGTCTAAAGGGCAGTGAGTTGGTTCTAATTCACAACACTTGGGTGGTGCAGAGATTTGTACCAAGGAAGAGCAAGCAACAAGTCTTAATGTCAAGGAGCCGGTCCAACATAATGCAGCAACAAGTTTGCTCAAGAGGAGTTGGGCAAGGAAGGTTAGTCAAGGTTGTATGACTAACGGTTCATCATCAAAGGTGCTTGATTTCAAAGCTGCAGAAAGTGAAGTCAAGACAAGGGATGATGGGGAGGATGTTGTTGAAGAGAAGCTTCTTGCCAAGGTGGTCATGGATGAGACTCCATTTGAGGTGGAGCTTGACACAAGGGCTGAAGAAGGAGGGCAACAACAACAAACTCACAAAGGGGACTTGAGGTGGAGCCATCATCAATTGCAAGGTCCGGGCCCATGGAATCCATCAAACCTTCCCTAGGTTTTGGATGGATGGACCAAGAAGTTCCAGCCACGTTTCAGAGTGCTATAGGGAGCATGAAGCGGGAAAGATGGAGAGGTGCATTGGTGAAAAGGGATATGTTCTTAAATCCAAGAGCAAGGTTGGCTAAGTGGGGATTTATTGAACAAAGGAGAGGTATGTGGTTTGCATATCATAGCATGTCCAAGATTCAAGGTTCCAAGAAGGCAAGGAGCAATGAATTTGGCATGGGGGATCTCTCTTCTGCACAAGAGGTCCAGGTTACTCAAGTTTAGGCTTGGGTGGAGCACCTTCCACCAAAGGTGCATTGAGGCAAGAGGTTTATTGCCATGGTGGAGCTCTTGGAAATTACTAGAACGATTTCTAAGAGGTTGAAGAGGTTCTAGAGGTCAACAATGGTTCACGGGGTGATTAAATGGTTCACCAAGGTGGAGATTGTTGCGAAATGGCTCACATTTAAGGATGCAAGTATCTCAGGATGCGATCGGTCGCAAGGGAAAAGCGACCGGTCATTTTTACACAGAATCGAAAAGCTGGAGAAATGGTATCCGCGACCGGTCGCAATGTATCCGCCACCAGTCGCAATGTATCCGCGACTGGTCGCACGCAGTGCTGTGCTGATGGTTTCCTATGTGTTTTCAACTACTTTTTCGGTGGCTATCGCTTTCCACAAGATTGCAGGGGCTTAATGGGTCACTTCTGAGTTAAAAGAAGGTGGACTACCTGCTGGATAGTTGGGAGAGCACTCATTGCTAATTGGTTGTCTTGCTTTGAAGGATTCACTTTCCATTTTTTGGTTTAATGGGAGGTGGCTGAGTGGGAGTTTATTACCTACTTGATCTAACCTTTAGTCTAAGTGGGTGACTAAAGGAAGGAACGTGGAGGACAAGCTGATGCCTTATCTCTTGTCCATTGGTTTGTGTAGGTAATGGGGAATGAAGCAAGACATTATAAGATGAGAAAGCAAGTTGAAGTTAAGTGTGGTTAATCTCAAGGAGTGGTCAAGTAGCTGGGAGCTAGTGTGTCCAAAGGAGATTAAACTCACCAAGGGAGAACGTGAGGGAGAGCAATCAGTTCAAGTTAGGAGCTGAGTTGGGGTCTTGAGAGTTTAGATACCGAGGAGGGAAACACCAAGGTTGTGAGAGTATTCACAAGTGCGTCAAAGTGTTGAGCAAGGGGTGAGAGAGAAAAGAGAGCTTGGGAGAGAATAGAGTTCTAAGGGGGTTTATGTGTAAACCAAAGTTGTAACTTATTCTTTCATTAGTGAATTTCTCAAGGGGATCACCAAGAGGATGTAGGCAATTGCTGAACCTCTATAAATTCTTGTGTCACTTTGTGCTTGGTTGGTTTCTCAAGTGTGTGAGTGTGTAATTCATCCATTATTGTGTTTGTCACAAAGTCCATCAACAACAAGATCATTAGGGGAGGGTGAAAGTGTTAGTCCATTTTCACAACAATAAAGATATTGTCAATGCATGTGCCTTTGAAACACTTGATGTTATCATGAGTTGTTTAAAAGATAGATTCTTTTCTATATTGGTGAATGAAGCACGTGATATTTCAGTGAAATAGCAAATGGCTATGGTGTTGCGTTATGTGGATGACAATGGACATGTAATTGAACGGTTTGTGGGGGTTCAACATGTTACCGACACCTCTTCAAGTTCACTAAAGGATGCCATTGACACATTCTTTTCTTCCAATGGTTTGAGCTTTTCCAAGCTACGAGGACAAGGTTATGATGGAGCTAGCAATATGAGAGATGAGTTGAATGACCTTAAAACAAAGATTTTGAGAGAACAACCTTGTGCATACTATGTTCAATTCTTTGCTCATTAACTACAACTAGCACTTGTTGTTGTGGCAAAGAAGAATATTAATATTGCCTCTTTCTTCACAACCACTAATAGTGTGGTTAACGATGTTGGAGCATCTTGTAAGCGGTGTGATGCACTTAGAGCGCAACTCCAAGAAGAGCTTGTGATAGCTTTTGAAAATGATTGTCTGATAACGGGGCGAGGTTTGCATCAAGAAACAAGTCTCAAACGTGTCGGTGACACACGATGGAACTCACATTACAGTACCATTATTAGCATCATTTCTATGTTTTCATCTGTGATTCATGTGCTTCAAATGATTATTGATGATAATCCCAATGATAGTGCCGGTGAAGCAAATAAGATTCAAAGAGAAATGCTTACTTTTGAGTTTGTGTTTCACCTATTCTTAATGAAAGCTATATTGGGACTCACAAATGATGTGTCACAAGCATTGCAAAAGAAAGATCAAGAAATTGTGAATGTAATGGTTTGAGTGAAATCATGCAAGGAAAAGCTACATTGGATGAGGAATAATGGGTTTGATGTATTGGTTGATGAGGTATCTTCATTTTGTTACAAACATCATATTGATGTTCCTAACATGGATGAGGCATTCGTACTTCCAGGGAGGTCAAGGCGTAATGCTCCAATCACTACAACACAAAAACCCTTCTATGACGTCTGATTTGCGTCATTGAAGGCATTTTATGACACGGATCAAGCGTCGTAACCCACATCGTCGAAAGGGGGGATCATGGAAACTTTTTCAAAGCATGACGTCTGTTCCGGGTCATGAAATGGGGTTTCAATAACGCGGATAGCGTGTCGTGGAAACTTTTTCAAAGCACGACGTCTATTCCGCATCATGGAATAGGATTTCAATGACGCGGATAGTATGTCGTGGAAACTTTTAATAAACACGACGTCTGTTCCGCGTAATGGGATGGGGTTTCAATGACACGGGTAGCGTGTCGTGGAATCTTTTTCAAAACACGACGTCTATTTCATGTCATGGACTAAGCGCCATTGAACTTAACGACATTGCTGAGACGTCATTGAAATATTTTTCATGACACAATCTAGACTTCGTTGAAATTCTTTAATTTTTTGAATTAAAAATTCTTAATCTGTATATATATATATATATCTCATCATTTTAATTATGCAAAAAGAAATTAATATATAAAAGCAAAAATATAGACACAAAGGCAAAGTACTCTAAATTATATTTCTATTATTCAAAATGATTCTAGTACATTAAAATTGTCTTTATCCAATCCCACTAAACCGTTTCCCTTTCAAGAAGTTAAAAATACGAAGAATGAAGCTTACAGGACAAAACAAAATTATTCAAGCCCATAATTATCTTCTTTATCTCTCCAGCAACTTGCTCTTCTGTTGTGTAGAATGACATATTCCCAATATAAACAGTCGTTGATGCCAGGAGTGCTTGTTCAAATTCCTCCTGTGATCCAGTAAATCTTCTATCCCGATATTGTGAAAGCTTCGATTGATCCTAATGAAAAAAGAAAATGATGAAAGATACGGTAATTGCAGAGAGGAATAACACAGTTATAAAATGCATGTTGGATCACAGAGGATAAGCTGTATTTTCATCAGTATTTCAAAGTGAGACTTGAAGAAGCATACAATAATCTGGAAATGCACAGATGTACAATATGGCCACTGGAGTTCCCTTTTTTTCTATAACAGAAACGATTATGAAAATAGAGTAAAATGAATCTAAGAAATCATAATGAATAAATCCCACTCAGTTCTAAAAAAAATTCACTGCACATGAATAGCACAGGGTACTTGAACAAGAAATATGGTTAAGTAATTACTATGAACAAATCTTTTTAAACATTTTTCAGAACTTCTCTAGCATCCACACATTTGATTGACAATATATGTCCCGGCAGTGTGCCACTGCTCTACACAGCTTCTCCAGAAACTCCAAAACAATCGCACTTAAAGTATTTATAAAAATAAATAAATAAAATGGAAACTACGACATATTTGACTCGACAGCAAAGAAAAGAGAAGATAGAACTTAAACATTCCCTTTTGCACATTGCACTGTCTAGTTCTCAAACAAAAGAAATTAAAAGGGGTGGGGGCTTAACTTCTAATTTCCATCTCTCACCCACCATGAGTTTCTTTTCTTGTCTTCTCTTCTAGTAATATTATCTCCTGCCCTCATATTACCAATGCAAACTGAAAGTTTATAGTGATTGAAAGTTTACAATGCAAACTGAAAAGAAAAACCTAGTGCATTGACTTAGATTTTTCACTCCGACAAACAGAAACTTGACACTAGTACTAAATTTAAAGTCCAAGTTGAGAAGAAGATCAATAAAATCCAAGACTACTTTACCTTGAATAAAGAAGCCATCACCGTCTGCAACTCTACTCACTGTCCATAGGCAGATACCCCACAGTATTATGGTTCAGAATTTAGACACCAAAAGAATTGACACATTAATTGAAACATTAATTGAAACATTAATTCATGGAAAACTTAACTGGGACAAGAAATCGAAAACAAGAATCTCACTTTCATCTGAGTTTATACTTCATCTCAAGCCTATCAAGCAATCACCGCCAAACCAGAAACCAAATTAATGTAAAAAACAAAACAAAAAACCAAAACAGAGCAAACCCAATATCTCATTCAATATCACAGATCACTTAATCAGAAACCAAGTTAAAGTTTTACCTGTCTTGCAGGCCTCCCTTACTGCAGCTGGCTGCACCTCTGTAGCGTACAGAACTCAGCAGCCAAATCCAACACCATAAAAAAATACAGAAATTAAAATAGCAAAACAAAATCACAATAGCATGAACAAAATTAAAACAAAAAGGATAAGAGGGAGATGATACCTTGATAAAATCTTGGTCTTCAATCAAACGAATTTTAGAATAAAATCTTGAACATACCCAAATTGAACCACCAATTTCAAACCCAACTGAACCTTCTGAAAAATCATCCACCATCGACCATGGCTCAGTGCAACCAGATGGAGATTTGTGACTTCGAATGAGATGAAGAACTGTAACTTCAAATGGGAATAAGAGAGATAAAATGAGAGGGAATCAGATACTTGAAGATGAAGCATTTTGGAACTAAAATTGGGATTTTGGAATTGAAATTGGAGGAAGAATAGAAATTTTTGAAGGTTTAAATTGAAACATTTGAGGTGAGAGAAAATTTGAAAGGTAAGCTGGTGTAGAGTGTTGAGAGCTTTCTGAATTTGGGTTTGGAATTTTTCAGAGTGATTTGAGAGAGAGGCTTGCAGTCTGAGATAGAAGAGAGATGAGAGAAGATTTGGGTTTAGGGGTCGGAGAGAGAATAACACGCACCAAACTTAAATTTGGTGAAAAAAAGAGCGGCACACGAAAAAAAATTGTGGGAAAAAAATTTAGAAATCTATGACGAAGCATAGACGCCGTCAACTCTATGACGCAGAATCCGCGTCATCTTATATAAGTATTTCATGACGTGTAGAAGACGTCGTTAATTTAAGGGTATATCTATGACACAGATCATGCGTTGTCATATAGGGTACATCTATGACGCAGGTCCTGTGTCGTTGTATAAGTACTTCATGACATGTAGAAGACGTCATTAAATTCACAATGTTAATGACGTATGATAGGCGTCGTCTTAATGTACTAGAATCAATGACACACATCCAGCGTCATTAAAAATGATTTTAATGATGCGTCCAACGAATGTCATAATAACAGTGTCATAAACTCACTTCAATGACGCATTTTAAAAACACGTCATATTTTATTACATTTAATGATGTGAATTTTCAATGCGTCATTAAATTTGCATCATAAAAAGACACTTTTGTTGTAGTGAATAAAGACAAATCGTCATTATTATCGTGTGGAGCTCTATATTTATGTCACTGATGAGCAACTTACAGAGTTAGATGATCGTTTTAATGAGGTAAATACTGAGTTGCTTATTTGTTTGGCATGTTTGAGTCAGAACGATTTATTTGTAGCTTTTGATAAACAAAAGCTACTTCGTCTTGCTCAATTTTATCCTCAAGACTTTTCAGATGGAGATCTTTTGGCACTTGAAGATCAACTTGAGCTTTATATTCATTATGTGCATTCGAGTAGTGAGTTCTCTAAATTGCAAGGGATTGGTGGTCTTGCAAAAACAATGGTGGAGACAAGGATGCATCGAGCATTCAATTATGTGTATTTGCTTATTACATTGGCTTTAGTTTTACTGGTTGCAACTGCTTCAGTCGAGAGGGCATTTTCCGTCATGAATATTATCAAGGGTCCACTTCGGAACAAAATGGGAGATTAATGGTTGAGTGATAGCTTACTTGTTTACATTGAGAATGATGTTTTTGATTGTATTGAAAATGAAGCTATAATGCTATGTTTTCAAAATATGAAACCTCGTCGTGGCCAATTGTAATTTGTAATGTTGTTTTGGACATGAATTATGAATGAATGTACTATAATTTCATTTTCAATGTTATTTTAATCTTTAAAAAAAAAAATTGAACTTTTACACTATGACCCTACGAGCTAAGATTCCTGGGTCCGTCCCTGCTCTTAACAAATTCTAACATAAATAAATTAAGACAAACACTGGCTAGCTCACTCGCAAACACAACCTGCTGGTTCTCCTTAAACACATTCTTCATCGTTAAATAGATGGTTTACGTTTGCAATCCAGTGTAGTTGCTCCAACACAAGGAAACGACAGGCGTATTCTCCTCAGATTTTTTTGGTACGGTGACGTGCTCCCGAACTATCCACCAAACTATCAATCACGTTCCTGAGGTTTTTTGGGACCTTATGCTTGAACCTGCGCCACAACTTCCTCGCCAACCAAATGATAAGACGAATGGTGTGGATTGTAGCTATGATCCCAAGCAATGTAGCCCAAACCGCAATGGATATCTCGGATATATTTTCATATGATTTGAAAATTTCAGTATTAGGGAACACTATGATGAGAGCATGTATATAGGTGAGTGCCATAGAAGTGAGAGTGAGACAATGTTACGAACCTGAGGAAGTCTTTTGGGAAGCCGCTGCCTGCCACTGAAGTTCCAGCGCTACTATTTGTATTATTGTCTTGCCAAACACCACCGGGTGGGTTAACTGCAGCTTCGAATGTTGTAGTTGATATCATGGTTGCCACCACGTGTCTCTTCCAACCAAGTTCTTGGGTATTCCAAGCAATTTACCAGTCTATTTATCAGACACCAAGCTATCGCTACTGCTTTGTTCTGAATCTGACCAGCAGCGGCAGTAGTTCTTTTTGTTTCCATACCTGGGCCTGGCTCAACCAAAATTTGATCAAGTTCAGGTTGGCTGCTCGAGTCTCTTGGATTTTGTTCTGAGGAATATAACTGGATCACGCCATTTTCTTCTTCTTTTACAGCAGGTATCATCTGCACAAGTGGTACCATTAATATTTTGAAAACTTTGTTGCTTGAAACCAAGGAATAAGAATCGCGTGCAGTGGTGGATCCATGAATTTTTCAGGGGTGGTGCAATATTTAAAACACTAAAAATTCAAAAAAATAATTTAGACAAGCAAATGCCCTTAGAATTTAAACAATATTAATGTCATTCAAAATTAAAACAAATAATAGTTTTACGTCTATTATGTGAAACAAAGTAGGGTAAATATTTAGTTATGCTCAGATACGCTCATATTATTATTCTTCTCCAATATGGAGGTATTTATATAAGTACAAAGATGTGTTAACCCTAAATAAAATAGGAAATATATCTAAATTACAATAGGAAGTAAATCTCTATTACAATAGGACTAAATAATAATTGGTAAGTAACCAAAATTCTAATGAAATAAGGAACCAAAATCCTAACTAAGTAAGGACTCACCAACACTCCCCCTCAAGTTGGGCAAAGATATTTCGTACGCCCAACTTGACAAGCGAGTCACAGAACACCATACTTGAGAAGCACCAATTGTAGAGAAGGTCTTTTCGTCAACCACGAGTGAAACAAGTGACAAACTAAAGCAAAGTTCGCAGTGGAAACACAAGAGCAAACCCTAAAAAATAGGGCACATAGCAAAACACAGAAACCCTGTGAGCACAGCAGTAGATAAGGCAGAACACAGAAGCCCTGTGAACACGACAAAAGCAAAGGCAACCAAACCCTAAAAATAGGGTAAGGCAAGGTAAGGCAAATAAAGGCCAAGCAAAGGCAAGGTGGCAAGGCATGGCAAAGAAAGCCCAGATAGGGCAACAAAACCCTAAAAATAGGGTAAGGCAACGCATGGCAAGGCAAAGCCAAACCCTAACAAATAGGGTAAGGCAAGGCAAAGAAAGTCAAGAGCAAAGGCAAGGTCAATGAGCATGACCACATCGAAAACACACCAGCAAAGGCATGAGCAACAATACTGGCACCATAACAGGCAGGAGCAACAATACTGACACTAACAAGAGTAACAAGGCAGAGACATAACAGGCATCATCAACAGCAATACAAGGCATTGGCACCAGAAACAGCAAAGACAACTTTTCTTCACTCCCCCTCTCCCCCTGAAGAGAAGGGGTCGATGGAGCCATATGATCAATGGTACTTGAGAAACATGCACTAACTAACACTGAGATGTAGCAGAATCAGCCATGGCAGATAGGTGGTTAAATCGCAGCGGAATAGATAAGCAGTGGTGTCACTCCCCCTCAAATTTGACGATGTATGAGAGTCGAGATTTGGAGAAAGTAACACCCAAATAAAGTTGCAACACTCCCCCTCAAATCCAACACTGGTAAAGGGTCGAGATTTGGAAGAAGAGAAATTGAATAATAGTAAAGAGACTCAAACATGCCAGTCTCGTGGCAGAAACAAATGCAAGAGGGGAAGGAAGTAGGGAGGTGGATGAATTTGTATAGATAGGGTAGGTGATGTTGACAAATGCGAGAGGTGTTGATAAAGGAAGAGACATATGGTGCAAAAAAAGTCAATAAAATAAAGGATAAAAAAAAAGAGGCAAGACATCCAGCATGTGGGCAAGAGAAGAAAAGACAGAGAGAGCTCAAGAGATAGAGCTAATCACAAAGGGTGTTGGCGGGCAGAGAGAGAACATAGAATATTGAATATAAAAAGTGAAACAAGTGGAAGACAGAGTGCATGTGGGATATGGGCAAGATAAGAAGCCGGGACAATGCCGGCAACACAAAGAGAGTAAGTAGCTGTGCAAAGAGAACAATGTGTGGATTGGTCGGGATAACTTTGAATGAATTGGTTTTAGGCTGGTATGGTATGGGATTGCAGATGCCAGACGGGCTTGGAAACTTAATTGGAAGCTTGACTTGGGATGTGATACCAAGTCTGTAACACAAAGGAAGAAATCACGGCAGATATGGCTCGACGAGCGTTGACGAGGCTCGCGGAGGAAAGCAACGGCTCGGTGAGCAGTGACGAGGCTCATGGAGGAAAGCAACGGCTCGGTGAGCGGTGATGATGCTCACGGGGTAAAGAGACTTGTTATGAAGTTTCAAAAATAGAGAAGCTAAGACATCAAGAAAGACCATCTGGCATACAAAGATGAAAAAATAAAAAATTTGGAACAATAGCAAAGAAGCATGTGAAGGCTAGGTGCGGTGAAAACACATATGAGAGGATGAACAAAAGATGGTGACAATACAAGACGAAGACCTATGATGGGTTAGGAATGAGGAGTGCCAACGACTCTCAATTTGGCAGAGGTTATCACAGGGGAACACAGCGGAGAACAGCAAATACACAAATACGGTAGATGCACGAAGACAGGAATGACACGAACACAATGACACAACACACAAACCCAGGAGGGCACACAGGGCACCGATAGGAAAAAAAAAATATGAGGCTAGAACACGAGTGAGCACAACACACAGGTCACCAGAAAAGTTGGCTCTAATGCCATGTGAAACAAAGTAGGGTAAATATTTAGTTATGCTCAGATACGCTCATATTATTATTCTTCTCCAATATGGAGGTATTTATACAAGTACAAAGATGTGTTAACCCTAAATAAAATAGGAAATATACCTAAATTACAATAGGAAATAAATCTCTATTACAATAGGACTAAATAATAATTGGTAAGTAACCAAAATTCTAATGAAATAAGGAACCAAAAATCCTAACTAAGTAAAGACTCGCCAACATATTACTAATTGATTATAGTCAATATGGTATATCAATTAATATGAACAAAATCTATGTCATATGGACACAATTAGTTTACCAAAATTCATATCAAATATATATGAACAAAATCCATGTCAATTACATAATTAATCTAACGAAAGTCAATACTAATTAATCTAACCAAAATTAATACCAATTAATCTAACCAAAAGCTAGCACATGTGGTTTGGAGGTCACGAGATAAAAGTATACGGGATTACAAGTTCGGGGTAACTTTCGGTGAATTTTTCGGTGCACATGAGTTTTTAATGAATTTTTTTAGTTAGTCCAAAAAGAAATTGACATGTGGCGGTTACTATTGGACTATTTAAAAAAGGAATCAAAATTGAAGCCGAGTCTTTCTTCTTCGTCGAACTTCCTCTGCAACATCAATTCTTAAAAAACTTCTAAAATTCATAACTTTGGTTCTGGAGCTCCGATTGATGAACTGTTTTCTCCTACATGCTCGTGAGATTGACTCCAACAATCTAAGGTAAATATTTAGGGTCTCACACAGCAGCAAACAAAACAACCTCTTTGAGGCATTTAGTCGAACAATTTATGGTCACTAGTAGAGGGGCAAATTCCAGCATCTCCAAGGAAGTTTTCGGCAAGTCTCCTTGTGCCTTTGTGGATTCACCAATGATCGCGTGTAGCATCAAAAATTAATCCCAACTCAAAAATAACAATAATGGTGAATAAAATTAAAATTGTAGTTGTCTCGAATTTGGAGTCTCAAGTGTATTAATTATAAGAAAAATTAGTGTATAGTGATTTAAAAAAAATAATAATAATTAGTATATGGTAAATGGCCTATTTTTGTTTTGGGCTAGGTGAATGAGTTTTAAATTTTGTTTTGTTAAAGGTCAATGAGTAAGCCCATGTGCGATAGGAATGACTAACATTTACGTTTTTGTCCCTTTCCTTTTTTCTTTTGGCACCATTATAAACCCCCACCCACCGCTTACACTAGCCGCCACCCGCCAACACCCTCTTCCACTGCCAACACCAGTCATCGTTACCATCCTCCGTTGCCACCCATTGACCACCATCTCCGGCCACCATCCACCACCATTTTGGGGTGTTGGTGGTGTTGATTGGGTCAGCGAATTTGGAGGCATAGAAGGAGAAAGCGAGATGGAGAAAAGGGATTCTGGCGAGGATGGGCCAGTCAGATCGTCATGGAGTTCAAATCCAACCTGATGTGGTTCCCGTTGAAATGAGATGCATGACTTGTTGCACGATGGGGTCATCGTCGTCGAGGGAAGAGAGAGCTTGAACGAGAGGCAAGACGAGGAGTGTGGTGGAAAGGTGAGGAGATAGCAGAGGAAAAGGCATGAGAGAGCGTAGGACATGTGGATGGTGGGAGATTGGGGGTTGGAAATGAAGTTGGAGTTTGAACTTGACGTCCATAAGGATGTCGAATTCAACGGCGACAAAACCCGACCCGTGTTTCGAAGAGAGAGAGAGAGAGAAAGAGAGAGAGAGAGAGAGAGAGAGAG